GGCTGCCAACCAGTACCCCCAGGTCCTTTTCCACCAGGCAGCTCTCCAGCCACTCTTCCCCACGCCTGTAGCGCTGCGTGGGGTTGAACTACAGGGACCCCCAGAGAATGGGGGATGCTGGGACCGACAAACACCACAGGAGCTCCTGCTCCAGGAGAAAATACTTGTCCTGTTACCTGGGAAGAAGGATAGTGTGGCTGGAGGCAAATCCCAGGAGAGACCCAGGCAAAGGACGATGCCCAGACCCCAGCCCACGCGCCACGTCCTCATTCCCTCTGAAGGGCCCGGCCTCCCTCCGCACCTCCCCATCACCTCTGCTGCTGGACCCAGCGGCTGCTGGAATCCCTCCCCGGAGCCAGCTGGGGCACAGGCGGTGGCAGGTCCCCCAGCACTGCTGGCCAGGAGAGCTAGGACACAGCAGCCACCAGGGGCCGGGGCCACACGAGGCTCTGTGGGAACGGCAGATTGCCATCCTCCCCCAGGGCCCAGTTGGGACCAGCAGGATCAATCGGCACGGCGCAGGCGCTGGCTTTGTGCGTGCAGCAACTGAGCTACACTCTGCCCAAAAACATGCGTTAGCCTCCTAAAGCTCCCGCCACTGCCGGCTCGGAAGAGGACGGAGCACAAGCAGACCTCCCCCAGCAGTCGGAGCCTGCGGGATCAACCCCCGGCGCAGGCAAACAGACGAGAAGCGTGGCAGCTCAGGGTGGATGTTCTTTATTCGTGGCCTGGAGGAAGGAGCAAAACCTGGCAAGCCTGCCATACAAGCAGGAAATGCAATCAAGTAAGAAAACAAGCTTCACGGAATTCAGGATAAGCTTAAAAATTGCCGTCAGCAGCAGGAGGCCGCGGCACGCGAGCGGTGGGTGTCCCCCAAGGGGACACGTTTGGCCCCAGCAGCCCTGTGCAGCCCTGGCAGCTCAGCGCCCTGCTCGGCAATGACTGAATTCCAGCTATCCCTTGATTTACTCTCAGCTGTAGTGTCTGTACAAAGAAAGGAGGCAGCAGGAGATTGGCGTGACAGACAGACGAGTGCTGGACAGACAACCGGCCAGCTCGGGCTCCCAACAGATACAGTGCTACAGCCCACAGCAGCACAGAGCCAGCTCGGGGGGGGGGACTCGGCCTCACACCACCTCTGCTCCTGGGAGAGGGACATCCCAGCCACATCTGCGTCAGCCTCCGGGGACCACTGCCCCATCCAGGGCCCCCCCTTCCCTGAGGGGATGGGGCCATTCCCCCCTGCCGGGGGGCAGCTTGGTCCCCACCTCCCCTCCAAGAGCTGCCCCCAGCACGAAGGCCGATCGCAACCCCAGACGGGCTGAGCTACTCCCCTCTCCCAAAAAGGAGCTGCTGCCAGGGGTCTCAGGCAGCACTCAGGCTGAGGTGGGGGAGAGGGGAGGAAGAGGACGGGTATCCATGGGCGGCACTGCCTGAGACTTGGGAAAGCCCAGGGAAGCAACTCGGAGGGTGACAGAAACGGAGAGTGAACATCAGAGCCTGCCCACCCCATGCTGTCCCCACGCCCTCAGCCACGTCAGCTCAGAAGAAAGTAATCACAGGACGAGGGTGGGCTCGCTCCCCACCCAGCACCCCCACGTTCCCTCCCCCAGGCAGGATCGGCAGCGTCACCACCACCATCGCCGATCAGAGGCAGCAGCTATCGGCTCCAACTCTGGGAGACGTCACCCCGAGATGTCCCAGAGCAGCAGCATTCGGTCACGTTTCTGTCCGTCCGTCAATCCCAGGCTGTCCATCACTGATTTTTGTTTGCTCCTGCAGCCCAGAAATCTGCAAGACAGCATGGAGGTGGGTACAGAGCCCCGCCTGGGCCTGCCCTGCCCACGAGGCTGCCAGGCAGCACCCGAGCAGAGGGAGAGGGGAGGAAGGGAGACCCCTCTTGAGAAAGCACCAGGCCCCAGAAACCAGGTGCCTGCTCCCTTCCCACCTCTGCGGACAAACAAAGCCAACACGAGTCCTGCGTGCGATTCAGCCGCCACGCAGGACGCGCTGCAGTAACTCATGCAAGGAAGAAAGGGGAGGCAGAGGCCGTCAGGACTCTCTGTGCCCAATCCTGCTGGGGGGGCACAGAAAAGAGGCATCACATCGCTTCAGGGGACACTCAGAGGTGTCCAGACAAGCATCCTCCAGCAAGAACAAGAAACACCACATCAACCGCAGGCTCGGAGGAAAAAACACAGCAAGTTCTCCAGCCCTTCCCAAGTCATCCCTAGGACCGTCCATGAGGACCCAGAGATGTTCCCCATAGAATCATAGAATGTTTTGGGTGGGAAGGGACCCCTAGAGGTCACCCACTCCAACCCCCCTGCAGGAGCAGGGACACCGCTAACTAGATCAGGTTGCTCACAGCCCTGTCCAACCTGGCCTTGAATGCTTCCAGGGATGGGGCCTCCATCACCTCTCTGGGCAACCTGTTCCAGTGTTTCACCACCCTCAGTGTAAAGAATTTCTTCCTTAGATCCAGTCTAAACCTCCCCTGGTTCAGTTTAAAACCATTACCCCTTGTCTTGCCACTGCTGGCCCTACTAAAAAGATTTTCCCCATCTTTCCTACGGGCCCCCTTTAGGTACTTCCCAGGACCCTTCTCTTCTCCAGACTGAACAACCCCAGTTCCCTCAGCCTGTCCTCAGAGGAGAGGTGTTCTCTCCTGCTGACCATTTTTGTGGCCCTCCTCTGGACCTGCTCCAACAGGTCCATGTCTTTCCTGTACTGAGGACTCCAGAGCTGGATGCAGTACTCCAGGTGATGTCTCACCAGAGTGGAGAGAGGGGCATAATCACCTCCCTCGACCTGTTGACCATGCTTCTTATGATGCAGCCCAGGGTATGGTTGGCCTTCTGCACTGCCAGTGCACATTGCTGGCTCATGTCCAGCTCTTCATCCACCAGCACCCCCAAGTCCCTCTCAGCAGGGCTGCTCTCCATCCTTTCTTCCCCCAGCCTGTACTGACACCATGTTGCTCTGTGCCTGCTCTGACAGTGGCGTCAGGGGGCGACCCCGCTCCACCTTCCCAAAAGCAAAGGAAGGTTTGAGACCAAGCGCTGACGAGTTGAGACCTGGGCTGGCTGCCCTCACCCAGAGGCCCCACCACCCAGCATCCGCCCCCTCTTCCCCATCAGGGCACATGCCACGTGGCTGCCGCAGGAGGGGCAGAGCCTGGTATTGGTCCGAGATGACCGAGGCACTTGAAGAAGGTAATGCCATACCCGCTGCGGAGGGGGAAATGCACGTCACCTAGAGCTTAGCAGAGGATGAAGCAATACCCATCAAGGTGGAGAAGCTGTTGGCAGAGGTCAGCCAGCTCCCGCCATCCACGACCAGGGTGCTGCCCGTCACGTAGGAGGAGAGGGGGCTCGCCAGGTACAGCGTGCTGTGGGCGATCTCTGTCTTGTTCCCTGCGCGCTGGAGGGGGATCACGTCAAACTGGCTTGCTTGCTCGGCAAATTTCCCACCTAAGAGTGGCAGAAGAAGGAGTCAGCTATGACCACGGGACCACCTGCCCACCACCACTGCTTGCCAGACACAGCAGCACTGCTTGCATGGGGCTTGTCAAGAGCCCCAGGGAAACCCAGGTGAGATCCTGGCACAGCCCAGGGACAAAGGCCTGAGAAGAGAGTTAAACGAGGGGAGCTCAAGCCCCGCAGCCGGATTTGTACTGGTTCAGCGAGTTCAAGACAGGGCCTCAGAGAGCTTTCCCAGCCTCCAGGGCTGAACCGGCACTCTGCTGATGGACTGCAAGAGCTGCACCATCAGGCAAGGCCAGGCTGAGGTTTTGGGGGAGCACGTTACGGCATGGCGTCAGAGAGCACAAAAAGCTGCCACTTGACAGAGAAAGATCAGTGCCCTGTGAGATTCTGAGGATGCAGGAAGGGCTGCTCCCCCAAAGGGACATGCCAGCCGAGTCACAGGACAGCCGTGCCCAGCAGCAACACCCCCAGCCACATCGCACACCCCACGAGCTGCATGGCACCGTGGTCCATCACAGTCCCCTCCCAGGCAGACACCAGCAAGCCACCACTGAGGCAGAGACGGGAGCCCCAGGTTGCCTCACCCAGCCGCCGGTAGCCCTCGGTGCCTGTAATGGGGCCTGGGGCCAAACTGTTCACTCGGATTTTGTTGGGTCCCCACTCCACAGCAAGGTGACGGGTCATGGCATCTGGGAAGGGATTACAACAGGAATGAGAAATGGAGAGCAGAGCCATTCCAGTAACTTTGAGGGGTGAGTGGGGCAGAAAGCCACAGGAGAATCTGGCCAAGACCAAAGGGCCTTAGAAGAGCCCCAGGGGAGAGAAGAGCCTCATCCCAAACCCAGGCACATAGTAACCAGATGGATTCATACTCGCCTCTCCCAAGGACATCTTCCCAGCCCAATATTCAGGAAGAAGCAGCTTCCTTACTGGCCCCACACAGCTCACAGAGCCCCAGCAAGGAGCTTTTAGGTACCTATGGCAGCCTTAGCAGCACCAGCATGCACCTGGAGGGCCTGCCCTCGGTAGTCCAGGGTTGCCGTGATGTTAACGATGACCCCACCGTGGTCCTGGGGAAGGAAAGGAGATGTGGCATTAGGCAGTGAATAGCACGTGGCGTCATGCAGGGGAGTGGTGGGACAAGAGGGCTGGGCTAGGAGGGACGGTCACCCGTGGGCACTGCCACCCCTGCATGGCTAACTCATCACTGGGGCAGCACTGCCCACCCGGCCTCACTGAGCCGGGGCAGCCAGCAGGGCCCTTGCAGAGAGGCAGAAGATGCAGGGGCCAAGCAAAGGCCAAGGGAAAGCAGAGGAGATGGAAAAGGAGCAGATCAGAGCTTCTTCCTCAGCAGGTGGCAGAACATGGAAAGGTGCCACAACAGTCAAAAGCCCCAGGGCCAGGCAGGATTCGCAGTTCCTGCACAGGGGCTGCAATCCCTGGGAGGGAACGACCTGGATCTGAGCAGGGTGGGTGAGCAGAGGCCCAGCAGCACAGCCCTGGGTACTGGGGTGCTCTGCTCCCGTCTGCCCTCCACACTCCCCTGTATTTCTCAGGAGCAAAGTGTGGTTTGTTTGACACTAACTCCCTGCCTGCCAGGAGCCTCTCCACCGAGTCCTCCGGCTCTGGTTCCACTTACCCGGAAATATTTCTCAAAGAGGACTTTGCAAGTGTTGAAGGTGCCAATGGTGTCGATATCTACCACTGTCTTGAAGGCATTGAAGGACAGGGCACTGGCTGGGCACAGAAAGTTTCCTGCAGCACCTGAGGAACAAGCAGCCGGGGGCACAGTCAGGACTAGGCCAGGAGAGATCAGGCAGGTTCAGGGCACTTCTGTGAGAGGGACGGCGAGCGACACCGTTTGGTCAGACTGGAGAGCATGTGGAAACAGCCCCGATAAGCAGCTTGTGGCTCTGGGTGCCCAGAAGCACAGCCAGCCTGAGGGCAGGAGGGTGCCAGTGCAGCGGGAGCAGGGATGACCGGATGGCCATGCTTTAAAAACAGGGCTTTGCCTCCTCTCAGCCCATCCCCTCTGCGCTCCCAGGGGCTGCTCAGATGCTCCCAGGCCAAAGCAGCATAAGCCAGACACTAGGCAAACACAACCCCCATGCAGGAAAATGCCGTTCCCAGCAGCAAGTCTGTGCCAAACCTCCCCTCTGCCCACTCCAGCAGCTCACCGTTAACGAGGATGTCAATTCGCTTGAACTCTTTCAGTGCCTCATCCACCGCTGCCACGATGGTTTGGGGCTGCCTGACTTCTATAGAAAGAGGCAGGCACTGCTGACCTGTTGCTGCAATCAGCTTTTGAGAGGCCTGCAAAAAATAAAGAGAGGCGAGATTCTTTCTGGGACTCTCTCCTTCAGCAAGGATTAGACCCAGAGCTCACAACAGGCGAGCAATAAGCCAGGTGGGAGCCGCGTCCCTGTCAGCACACAGCAAACACTGTGGGCAGGGGAGAGGCCTCTGTAAACACGGCCGGCTTCAGCCAGGCAGCACCCTGCAGCTAAAGCCCCGGGGCAGGCAGAGGAAGCTCCTGCGAGGCGTATCCCAGCTGAATGCCAGGCTGGCCCCAAGGCCACAACTCACTAAGCCCAGTTACCTCCGTGGCCGGTCATTGGCACAGCACATCCCGAGCAACATTTCTGTGGGGCAAGTACAAAGGTTAGACCCCAACAAGGCATTTTTGGCATGAGCCCAGACATAACTAACCTTTAGATCCAAAAAAACATCAGCAGGCAAAAGGGCAAACGCAAACCAGCAGTTGCCAGGGTCTGAGCTTTGCGGCTCAGCGTCTGCCACAAACCACCCCCAAGGCGCTTGTTAAGAACTTGTCTCCCCTCAGCAAATTAAGCACAGGGGATGCACAAACTCAGCAGCAGCCTTGCACAACACCCACCAACGCTGCTCAGGATCGTCAGGCCCTTCTGTGAGAAGCTCTGAGCCCTGATTAGCACACATGAACACCGAGCGCCGAGAGCCTGGGAAAGCAGTCCCTGTGTACTCAGAAGACCCCAGCCCCTGAGGGCTAAAAAGCTGCTGAGCTTTGCAGCTTGTTTTCTGGCACGCGAGCATGAGGGAATGCAAAATGACAGCACTAACCCCGCTCCAGGGGGCAGCTGGGTCATGCCAACTCACTCCCAAGCATCAAATCTGATCTTTACTGCATTTCAGTGAACTCCACACACAGTTACTCCAAAGCTCGCTCTCAGCTGCTTTCAGCCTCAGACCACGGCACAAGCCATGGCGTGGAACCAAAACCGTGACCAGCCAAACTCAGGCCCAGGGTCAGACACCCAGGGTTGGGTGTTTGTTCTGCCCAGCCATCCACAGAGTAGCTACAGTCTAATACAGCTTCGTCAGTCACCACTCTCCAGACCTGCATCCTACTCTCCTTCTCAAGATGCAGTGTAACTGAGATTTTGGGGCTCAGCATCCCCACCTCAACCCACACAACCCTTGGACAAGAGGGTCTTGCCCTATGCGAGGCTGAGATTTAAGTTTCATCTTGGGCTCTGCCCCTTCCCTGCTGACAAACCTTCACTGCCGTTTGTTTCTCTCTGTCTCATCAACCAAAAGGCAATGCAATACTTGGAACAGACACTCCCAAAGCTGGCGGGGGAAGGTATTAACTGAGCCCTACTGCAAGGGGCAGTAGGCACAGCCTAAACCCACACCCTTCCTACCCATCACTGCTCCCTGCTGGTGCTGGAGCACTCAGAGCCAGGAGAAGACAGTGTGGTAGCACAGCTGAGCCATTTCTCCCTTTGCATGGCTCCCAGCTCCATCCAGAGGAGAGGGCAGAAGGATTTCCAGGCATTCAGAACTCTCCCTGCTGCTGCCTGTGCCGCTGGAGCCCACTGACTCACCTCCGACACCCGCTGCAGGTTCCGGCTTGCAATGACCGTCCGGCAGCCATGCCTGCAAAGAAGGGGCTGGTGAGAAGTACCACAGCGTGCCAGCTCCTCATGGTCATCTCATATCTCTGGGGATTACTAGGAGTTTGGTCGGCGAGTGGTGGGAGGCGGCAAGAGGAACTGCTGCTCCTCCAGGCTCGCAGGACTCAAACGGGGGAGAGCCACAGCGCGCAAGAGCCCTACCCCAGCCCCGTGACAGCAGCAGCCCCTGCCTCCCGCATCCCACCAACCCCCAGAGCCTGCAGCAGGGCAGGGCTGCCCACACCCCAGCTCTCAGGAGGGCTCTGCGGCCCCACGGCTCGCTCAGCCCCGTTACCGCAGCCGCCTGAAGGGAAGGG